GTTCTTCAGAATTGATCAAATCACCACTGTGAATTTTATACCTTAACTGTGATTTTATACCTCAGCTGGATCTGTTATGATCCTGATTTTATACCTCACCTGGATCTCTTATGATCCTATGTTTTAAATGCATTTGACTAGTGATTGCCTTAAACTAAATCTTTAAACTGCATGCTGGTTTTGATTTTATAGTTTGATAAGTGAGATCAGCTAATGGTTACATGTTAAAACATATTATTTTAAAGAAGATGTTTTTGTTATTATGTGTCTGTGTTTTATGTGCGTTCATTATTGTGCTTTTGACAACAGATGATCCAAACATTGATGAGAGATGATTTTCTATTGTGATTGTCTGTATCAATCATTGTGGTGGAATGTTTCAGTCTTATTCTACTCTGTGATGTATTTGATGTACGGTGGGACCACACTCAAATCTGAAGACACCTATTGATTTAAGTATTGACCAAATTATTATTAGACTAATGTTTTCAGGTTATCAAAGATGATAAAAAGAGAGAAACTGAGGGAATAATTGTGTCTTTACTTAAGATATTTGTCCTTTCGGTCTGTTGACGTTTACGACGAAGCCAAAGTCTGTTATCTGTCTTAAGGAATGGGAACTATCAGCTATTGCTGCCATTATCAGTTTTATGACCGGTCAACTCTCGGTCACAAGAGCCATAAAGTCAAATAAGTAATTCAGTACCTCCAGGTGGTCACGTACACCTACCCCCCAATATGTGAGTTGACTCTGAGTGAAGCTAATTAAAGGTCTGCCAAGATGAGAAGGGATTCAGAATTGACATGGCAACCCACCTGTGCAGTCAGAACTTTCTGATGCTGTGACTTGTGATATGAATTCTCCGGCCGATGCTTGTAATAAACTGCCAGTGTTTGACATCAGAACTCCTGCTCGTCCCGTGTCTCTCTGAGTCCTGACTCTCCATTGCTACAGAAGTTTCCCTTACAAAGAAGATACTATAAGTGATCTCTACAATAAAACAGTTTAGTGCAGAATGTACAAAGATATTAATAGGAGGAGGTGCAAAACAGAAAAACGAATTAACCTTCATTTAAACATTAAATAACAGATTAAGGTCTTCTTTTAAATAAGAAAAAAACTTTGGGGGTATCTATCTACAGATAAATATTAAGCCTGACAAAGTACTTAACGTCTAATATATTGCTTTCCTGCAATGTTAACTATGTTGAAGCACTTATTTTAACTGATATTATACATATGGATTATACTCTTATGTAGATAGAATAAGAAATGTGCAGAATATGACAGTTTAATGGTGGAGGTACACACATATTGATAGATGTCTTGTAATGCACTGTTGAGGAACCTGTGACCCAAGTTTTTCATTCATTGCATAACTACACCGTAGTTGTGTATATGATATGTCAATAAACCTTTGAAATCTTGAAAGGGATGTGCAAAATTGCCATAATATACAGTCTTTAATTAACTATTAGTAGAGAATAACGAGTAATGAATATACTTTATTACTCGTTTCCATTCATGTCAATTGCAGATACATGTTTAGTCTTCTCAAGCACCAACTATCAAATATCTCTCCTGATTGTTGGCACTTGAAAATCACCTTCCCTGAATTTTACTCAGGTGTAACTAAAGTCTGATTTAAGGGTTGTTTATATTTCACATCATTAATCAGAATCTGCAAAGTAACTCAAATAAGTGTAGTAGAGTAAAAATACCAGGTTAACCTCTGAATTGTAGTGGAGTAGAATTACAAAGTATCAATGAGCTGTCATGTGGGTATATATTAATGCTATATATTAATGCTGCGCATTATGGACAGCGATTTTCACCCATTTATTAATTATATGTTTTACATTTGATAACACCAATGTGTTTAATACTGGCAATTTCTAATTGTGGGAAAAACGAAAACGTTCAGTAGAGACGTCCCATAGAACATTTTGTGAAACACAATAGCCAGCATGTGTAGTTCTGGGGGGGCGTTCGATTCCAGTTTTGGATAGTCTGGCGTGGTTTCGTTCCATTTCAAACAGCTGTTTGACGCTCAGCGTAACCTTGGCACACTGCCACTCCAACATCCAATCCCAGACCTTGAAGATTAATCACGGGGACTGTAGTCCTAAACGATAGCTGGGGATTATGGGTAGTGTAGTGTCTTCGGCCATCCTAAACTCAGAAAGGTTGACAATCGCAATGATGCTCGAAATGTCCCTTATAGGCCTACGTCTGTTTCCGGTTATTTTATTTTGAAATTCAGTTCCTGACGAACGCCAAAAAAGCCCGAGATTATGGAATTAAACCAATAAATAAAAGCAAGGATAATTGTGTGTTATTGGTGAGTAAATAACAGTGTGTTATTTTGAAAAGAATAACAAATTAGAAGGAAAAAAAGATTTAAAAAATACGAGGCTCTGAGCCCCATTTATTTTCCTCACAGACGGCAACACTAAAGGTCTAAAATAAAGACCTAAATGAATATTTGGGATGTTCTTGCCTTTAGATTCTCCCAATAAGTCCAAGTACAGAGGGTGACTTTATTGTGAAAAAACACATTTCCACGTTAGCAACCATGAATGTGTACACATTCATGAAGTAATCTTCGTCATAACTAGCAAACTAAACATCATGTACATGTACTGCACAAATAATCAGAAATAAAAACTCATTACTCGCATAAAATGACATCAAAACGCATTTTAATGGCCAAATGAACCTTGAAATAGGCATTTTCCACCGAGAATAACACGAAGGTCGGCCATTGTTGTTGATCACGTGGTCTATGAAGGTCTATGGGACGCCCTGCCCGTAGAAGCCTGACGGTCAAGGGGTCCGCTGTTCGCAATGAAGGTCTATGGGACGCCCTGCCCGTAGAAGCCTGACGGTCAAGGGGTACCCTGTACGTAATATAGCGACGGGGAGGGGCCCTGACCGTCCGTCAATATGTGACGGGATGGGAGTGAGAACGTGTTGCTCGCTCACGCACACGCACGCACACACACACACACACACACACACACACACACACACACACACACACACACACACACACACACACACACAAAAAACCCACTAATGGTCTATATCAGGGGTACTCAAATACAAATCTTAAAGGACCAAAATAAATGTTTCAATAAGACAAAGGTCAGTTTATTACAGTCATTCAAACTTTTAAACAATTTTAACAAGATTCTTAACACGAGGTTGCAAAAACAAAAATAATCTGTATGCAGCAGTTTTCATTGTTATTGTGTCTGTGCTTGACCCCTCAGAGTCGCAGTGTAAGAGCTGCACAGTTATGAATAAAGGCAGCTGCACCCTCTTTCATTCAGCATTCCCATTATTGCTTTATAAATGTATTCCCCCTTGTGTGTCCACTGAGGTTCGTCAGGCCCAACACATCTTCAACAAACTCCCCCTCATCATAAAAACTCACAAACACCAGCAACTGAGCATTATCAGTGGTGTCAGTGGACTCACCCACAGCTAAGGAAATGCACTGTGCATTTTTTATTCCATCACAAAGCTGATTAATCAAATCACCAGCCAGTATTTATGTTCTTCTGGTTGCTGTGGAATCTGAGAGGGGGATTTGCTTGATTTGACCTGTTATTTCCTCTTTGTGTTTGCCTTCAACATGGTCTCCATCACTTCAGTCATGCATTCTTTTATACTTCAGTTATTATCCAGTGGAAAGTCCTTACCTACTGGCCTAGTTCAATCAAAGTGGTTACTTTTGTTTGGCTGGGCAGTGTAGTTTTACACACCGTCTTATTTGACTTTCTCAGGACTTAAAACAGTTTTTTGGGGGCAGACCCCCTCAAAGAAAAAAATATATTTACACACGTAAGGTCATCATCTTAACAGTTGTGTATGCTCATCCGTGAGCAGAGCATCAAGTTGACATGTCTATTACAGCTGAATGCGGCGATTACCATTTTGTTCAGCAAAACGCCTCACAAACTTATTAAGATCAACAGCTTTAGTGCGTTTTGATTCAATGCTGAGTACAGACAAACTGACAGTCTCTTCTCTGTCATTGTAGACCGCAAATACCTCATTCCTTCAGTGCTTGGGTCCGAATGCTTCTCGTTTTGCGCCGTCCAGTTCAAAATGAAATCGCCGCCAATCGTATGTCCACGCTCGCGCCAGGACCGGGGGAGGGGTTACATGACGTGCATCTTGTGCTGCATTCACTTGCACTCGGACATTAGAGACTTTCTCTCATAAATGTCTGATGAGCCACAACTTTTCTTTCAAAAACAAAGCTGCCAACTGGGGTGGCAGCTGGGGTGGCAAGGCCTATTTTTAGGGTGTTAGTTGCCACCCCGGTAGGTGAAACTAGGCTACTAGCTACAGTACAGATGGAACTAGATGAGCTGTTAACTCTCGCTCAGAATTTTTTTTTTTTAATTCTCGCTCTGACTCAGACAGGTTGAAAGAGACACACACGAAGACCCGCCCTACTGTGCCTCTGATTCGCAGATTGTTTGGGGGGAAAAAACGCTGACTGGATGCTGAATGTGATTGGACCAAAGCGTTGACACACACAGGTGGAACACAGTGGAACAGTCAGACATGCAGAGCGCTGTTTGCAGTGGACATAGCAGAGAATTGTGACTCGTTGCGAATGCGTTGTGGCGATGTCTCACATATAATACAGAGAGATAATACATATGAAAAGTATAATTTGCTCAGAGTCCGGAGACAGTGGTGGTTCGGTCCGGATCCGGACCAGAGTCCGTAGTTTGAGGATGCCTGGTCTATATGATAGAGAAGCAGAAGCAGATTGTGTAGGCCTACTACTCAGCTATTTTAATAAGTTGAAAAATGAAGAAACAATAATACATTATACATAGACAGAAGTTATATATCAGTCAAAATGAAAATCTACATCTATATAAAAAATGTAAATGTTCAAGTTAAACACAAGAACATGACACCACCCCGCCCCAAACCATATTTACACAAACTTGCTCATGAAAGTTTAAATGAGCTAAAAGCCCTGAAAGGGGACTGTTTTGCAGAGCTTCTTTCTCGTGCTCCCTTTCTGCAGGTCAAGAGAGGTGAGTTTGGCAATGTGGTGTAGTCTTATTTTCAGAAACACAGACACAACCAATGACAACAAGTTGGAATAATGGTTGTCGATGCCAAACTGCGTCTCCTCAATGTGTTCCCCAAGCTGAAAAACATCCTCCGTTCCAATCTCCTCCCGGACGATGTAGGTGACTGTCGACACCTTTGGAGCTTGCCTTGTTGAAGCTTGGCGAATCACCCTCTCTGCAGCTCTCAGCACCTTCACTGTGCCTTGTGATGGAATCACTAGGCCACCGTTGTTTTTCAGGGCTAGAAGGTGGTAGCTCTCATCAAATGATGAAGGTACAGCATCTCTGACCAAGCTTGCACGGCACACATCACAGGACAGCTTTCGCAGAATCTGCCGGACTACAAATCCTGCGATGTAGACCAGCGCATTTTCCACCAGACCACCAAACCGAGTGGGAAGATAGCTGTGGTCACTCACAACAGCCGAAATGTTGGCGAATGGAGATGGGTGCTCTTCAGCAGTTTCAGCAGAGGACATCTCTACCGCAGACAGGGACACAGTGTGATCTTGGGCTGCCACATTGCCTGTCTCACTAGGTGAAACACCACACCGAACGATCAGACGGCGGAAGATGGCCTGGAACTGGCGTGCAGATGGATTGTTATTCCAGCCACCTTGTATGGAAAACAGGCACACAATACATACATTACTCATAAGTCATTTTCAGAATGTATTGCAATTAAAAGAACATCAACCCTACCTGACGCTCTGATGGAATTAAATAGGAGCTCCAAGTGATCCTGGCTGAACCTGTAGGTGAGGACATACTGCTGAACTTGGCAGTGGCGTTTTCTCCCGGAGGCCAAGGGAAGCCAGTCTTCCTCTGTTTTTTCGGATTGTAGTTATAATTTAAATAAATAAATAAAAACACTTTGTTTTGTTTCGATAATTCTCCTTTACTGTGTGTTGCTGCCGGCCCGTCTCTCCCCCATTCTCATTGAGTATTTTACAAAGAGTGAAACAAACAGCGCCCCTCTAGATGTTATGGTGAAACAGTAGATTGCACTCACTGTTGCGAGAGGAGGCCAGCCGAATCTGGCTTCCTTTGGTGAAAAAAAATGGAGGGATTGACCAATCAGATGAGGCCCACGTGATGCCCCTGCCAACCTGTGATTGGTCAGGGCCATGCCAAGGGAAGCCAGCCGCCTCTAGCTTCCCTTCAGGGGCGGCTGGCGATTTGATTGGACACTGCCATCCAATCAAATCACATCAACATCAGTTTTAATACTGTAACTGTCATCACCGCCGTTAGAAATTATCAAGCAAATGAAGCATTATGGAGGGTGGAGATTTGGCGTACTTAATCAAACATAACTTTACTAAACTTCCGCTACAGCAGCAACTAAAAATTAAATCAGATGACAGGCCAATGCCCGCACTCGAGCTGTGTATACACAGAGGAAAAAGGGAGATAATCGGACGTTCAATGAGGACAATTATGTCCGCACAGAGTGGCTAACTGGAAGCGCTAAACTTCAGCGTCTATTTTGCTGGCCATGTCTTCTTTTTGACAAGGGTTCGTGCTCCCTGAACAATACTTGGGCAACTTCAGGATTCATCGACCTTGCCAACCTGTCACGGGCAATTGAGAGGCACGGTAAATCCAAAAATCACATAGATTGTGTGATTGTTTGCATACATTAATAAGTAAAATGCTTAAATTAATAAGAAGAGAGTTTCAGCTGGAGAGTGCGTGCGGACCTGTCGGTTAGATAACAGGCGTGTGCAAGTCCTGCATCTGTGTGATACAAATGTGTGTAAAATGATACCGGGCGCTGTAATCACTCATCTGGTTACGTTATTGACCCCCCCCCCCCCCGACCCAAAAAATGGGCTTCCCCTACATTTTCCCCCACGCCACGCTACTGGAACTTGGAGCAGTTCAGGAATCATCAGCATCAGCGTGTCGATGTTAATGACAAATCCGATGACTGACAAGTACCTGCAAAAGAAAAACATTGTATTACTCTGATCATGGCAAAACATATACAGTATACTTGTAGGACACTTAGCTAACTAGGAACAATGTAATTGCAGAACTGGGATAACTTGAGAACAAGAACACATGCAATACATACCATTTTGACACCTACATGTGCTTGATGTTGTGTAATACGTACCATTAGAAGCATCTGGGACCTCAAAAACACTGAATACAAGATCATTCAAATAGAAACAAAACTGCAGATTGAAAAACATTGAAACAAGAGAACATCATTTCAACATACATACCCTCCTTCTGACACCTGCAAAACTTGATGTTGTGGAATACATACTATTTAGAAGCATCTGGGACCTCAAAAACAATGAATACAAGATCATTCCAACAAACAAAACTGAACACAGAAAAACATTGAAATAAAAGAGCATCATGTTAGCAGACCAAACTAAAGGAAAACACATTGTAACAGTAGCATCATATGAACCTGATGTAGAGAACAGAGCATCTTATGAACTCGATGCATAAAGGAACAGAGTATCGTTGAACTCATGTCGTGAACTTTTCATGCATGAATAGCACTATTTGAATAGACCTCTTAGATCGGTGAAGTGGTGTTCCATCTGTTGTCACCAAAGTGAGCAAGTACTCCCTGGCTCTTGACAAAAATGCTTTCCTCTCTATCCAATTCAAAGCACCCAAGGGAGATTTGAATCCTTTGGCACGAGGATTGCGTCCATTCATTGTGTCAACAGCCTGTCAATAATCTATAAAGAAATATCGGCATCTAAATCACTATCATTACAGTGTTTCATTAGGTATCAGATAGTTGTAATCAATACTCATCTATTCAAGATATAAAGAGAACAGAGTACTTATTTCTAAACTGTATGTTCAACATGCAAACTTAGTATTTGCTTGACTTCCTTCTCTCCATAGGCCTGCTTTGTGCTACAGCACACAGAGCTTTACCACTCTAAAATGTGTGAAGGTATGTGTAAGGTTATATACACACTTTTGTATTTATGAATATGCAATATCACGGTTCATGAAAATATTTGCATGTTGAACTTAGAGAATTATCAACAAATTGTTCCTGATGCTCAAATCACATTTTGATCAATTATTAAAAACAAACACGTACTTGGTTCTATAATCACTAACTGTTTACCTCAATGAATTCTGCCGTTGCCTCACAGTCTTTAGAGCAACTGACACGGAGCGACTCAGTGTTTGTGCAGCCAGGGACACCCTCCTCTTGTGGTTCTCAAAGTAGACATGTTTGTCTGTGATTTTATTGACAGCATGCAGTCCGTCTTTTTTTTGCACATCATTGAGATCATTGATGAACCTCCACTTGATCTGTCCGGTGGTCGTTGCAATTGGACTGTTTGCCTGCAGAGAAAGATTCAGTCACTGCTCAAACAAGTACAAACAGCAACATGTTGATCATCACGTCCAGCCATAACTGTGCAAATGAACAGACAACAATATTTAGATACAACTTTTAGCAGCAGAGACATAACTTATACAAATAGGTCTACAACAATCATCATTTACCTGCAACATATTACGTGCCAACTTCAGCATGTGGCATCCATCATTACAAATACTTTGTCACCAGTCGAGGGATGCGGGAAACTGGTTTGAAGTGGCTCCTGTGGGTTTCCCTTCAGCTCACACCCAAGTTGGTTGCACATGCTGACGTTGGAGGCATGCCCATCCATGGTGACGGATACCACCCAAATGCCCCGTGCATGCAGCTCCTCCAAAGCATGACTGAGAAGGACCCTTTGTGTTTCAGGTGACAGAGACTTCGTCAGGTAATATGCAATGGGAGCCTTCCAATGTCCTTGTAGGCCAACCACCATGAACACAAGAGCCTCAGTAGCAACATCGGTCTCATTGTTTCCATCACCCATGTCTACAAAACCAGACATTGACTGGTTATGTGGATTATATTGTTTTCTGATGGCCATGGCATCCAACATGAGTGCAACACATCCATATTTAGCCTGGTCTTCCTGGCATCTTCTCTCCAGCATATCCAGCATCATCTTGTTCAGGCCAGGCTTGCCATCCACCGAACACAGCCACCTGTAAAAAAATTGAGAAGTAGCTATTTAACGTATTTGCAACCGTAATTTCCAAAAATGAAATTGAACAACATTAAGACTACCTTTGTAATGTATGTGGATGAGGGAGGGGAAGATTTTTAGTCTCTCTGATGTATTTGTATGCCTTTGGACCATGTAGATGGAGTGTGAGGGCAAACTCTCTGTGGCCCTGCTTTGCCTTGAAGTCTATTTGAAGATCTGAAATTGTATGAGAAAAAATGAATAAGTCCCCTTCGTATAATAACAAAGGAGTTTAATAAAGAGTATAAGAGTAAGATGTACATGAATTTCAAAGTTCTAATTTCATTTTACCTGAGTAGAAATCAAGCCTCTCTTTGAGTTCTTCATTAATGAGGTTCTTTTCCCTCAAATCCCCCAAAAGACTCCTCACTGTGGTCTTTGCCCTCTTTTCTCTAGCCATGGCATTCTTCCTCTCTCGCTCGAGACTCTCCACTCTTGCTAAAGCTTCATTGAGTCTGGCCTTAAGAGCAGTAGGAGAAGCAGGCAAGACATAGCTATGATCCTAGTAGAAAGAGGGATGAACATGGTGTGAGTGATGTTTCACTTCACACACATCACTTTGACACAACTAGAGTATGGCCCACATTCTTTCTTATAGTCATCACCTGTCAAAGCCACTGCCAGCATCATGTGTGTGTGTGTGTGTGTGTGTGAGTGTGAGTGTGCCAGGAATGCATGTTCAACATGTCTTCAATTGTGTGTGTATGGGTTTATTTGTGAGTGTGTTTAATATGAGTGGCAGCAAACAAGAGAGATTTTACTTTGTCTAGGACCATTATGATATGATGTTGAAAATAGAAATACTCACATCATTAGGCTGAGGTTGTGAGTGTGAGGTTGAAGCTTCTGGGTCGTCCTGAGGGGCCACAGGCTCTCTTCAGCTTTTCTGGAAGGAGACGTAGTCCTGCCCTTTTCCGGCTAAAATGAAGAAGCATAATACTTGAAAAGAATATATATACATAGATATATATATATATATATATACACGCACGCAAACACACACAACACACACAACACACACACACACACACACACACACACAACACACACACACACACACACACACACACACACACACACACACACACACACACACACACACACACACACACACACACACACACACACACACACACACACACACACACACACACACACACACACACAGGGATAGGTATTTCACCCTGCCCTGTTATTGATAATAGAATATTTACATGTATGAATGCTAATAGCCTTATGATGATACACCTACTCTTTGGAGGTGAACCGGGAAGCTGAAGATGGAGGGAATAACACCATCTCTGAGTCGGACAATCTGTCCTCTCCTGTCAAACTCGTCCTGCTTAAAATGCTCACTGCAAATCACGGATGACTCGCTTGCAGTGAACCCTTCCCTCCTCAAAGCAACTTCCCACTTCTTCCTCATATCTTTGTCTTTGGGAAACCTTCGGGAAAAAAACGGGAGATTTGAGAGTCAACACAATTTTTTTTAAGAATGAGGTCAAGCTTATTTTCTTCCTTCTTCTTCCTAGATAGATTAGATTAGATTTTACTTTATTCAACCCACAACGGGGAAATTCACTTGTTACAGCAGCATATGATTTATAAAGTCTCAGTTGGCCATAAACATAATGTTTGCTGGCTACGATTTCGCTGGCAGACATCAATACAGTACAATAATATTCTATTTACAAAATACAACCAATAATAATGTTGAATCTTACTTGAAAAGTAATCCCCCAACCAGAGACGTGCACACATAGACTCTAGGTAGTGCTTGAGCACCTGCCCGTTTGGCCCTCTTGACAGCAATGTGCCCTTTTGAAAGTTCGTTTTTTACAGTTTTTTTATTATTTATTTTTTACAGTGTACTGTATGTGGCTCATGGTAACATCGATCAATTCTGGATTAAAAGCTTCTAATATATACAAAAATGCCCCAAATGCGCGTTGTAATTTTGTCAGACATCCCCACACGTGCCCCGTGGCACTCCCGTACGTGCTCTGGCTGCAGCCCCTCCCTTCCCTGCTCTCAAAGTGAGAGCTGACAGTCAGTCAGACAGGCCACGGCGGGTGTGTGGTGCAGCAGCACGCAGCAACACGATTAAAAGTGCCCTAGTGACGACCAAGTGAGTAACCACCAGGTAACAAATACAATGAGTGTATTGTTTAATCCCCTAAATCAGATGCCAAACTAAACTATACAGGGTTCGTACGGTCATTGAAAACCTGGAAAAGTCATGGAAATTCAAAATGAAAATTCCAGGCCCTGGAAAAGTTATGGAAAACAATATTTTTCCCAAAGTTTTGGAAAAGTCATGGAAATGTAACTAAAGTTGCGTCAAATATAATTGACATTTTATCTAATCGCCTAAATAATCTGCGGTCGCGAGCTGTTATGTGCCATCATGACGCGCATGGTGTTCTTTTTTAATATATGAAGCGCGAGCTGTGTGCTCGAGTCTTCTTGCCTGTCGGGCCGGCTGAACTCTGCTGCTCCGGGATGAGGGTCAGCTACATTATCTACGGTGTGTTCGTTAACTGGGCGGAGTCACTGTGGCACAGACTGAGCCGCTGGTGAACAGCTGTTAGAACGGGCCGTTCAGGTGTTCAGAGCAGAGCGACAGAGCGTGATGTGAACTGGAACGTTTTTCTGTCGCAATATCATTGTCACTATCTGCTAACGTTAGCTTTAGCCTTCGTTTTCTAATAGTTTTTTTCATAGGCTATAAACAGAGGTGGTATAAGTATAGAGATTGTAGGCTACTAGAGTAAAAGTAGAAGTATACTCAGATCTTGTAGCCTACTTTAGTAGAAGTACTCAGATCTTGTACTTAATAAACGTAGAAGTACTCAGATCTTGATGTTCCTCAAGTGAAAGTAGAAAAGTATTATAAAAATACTAAGGCATGAAAATACATTTTCAAAATGCTCAACAGTGCTGCCAAAATGATAAACTGACTGCTACACAATTAAAATAAATGCTTTTATATATTTCTATTAGATGTAACTCTTTGGCGTTTCTGTTATTATTACCTGCTGCTTTAGTTGTTCTGACTGCTAAAATCCTCTGTTATTCCTAATTTTAAAGCCGATATTCCGTGGGGTCGGGGGGCTCGGATCCTTGTCACCTTACCTGATGAGTTTGCATCCCTGACTACAGTTGCTTTAGCGAGTAGAAGCTAGTAAGCCTACTATCTGATTTGTTTTAGATAGGCATCTGCATCAGACAGCATATGGTTATTGAAATAAATATATATGCAATTACGACATACAAGATGTGCCTTTAATAAATCTCACACTACTAAGGCAGCCGGCGGTTCTACCAGGGGCGTCAATCCCGGGGGGGGGGGGATTTTCCCCCTTAGCTTCAGATTGGACCCCCCTAAGTCATTTAGAATAATACAAATAAATGTTAAAATAATTAATTTTTTGATAATAAATCAGTAAAATCAGGCAAAAATAAGAATTAAATAACATAACCCTAACCTAACACCGAAATAAAGTAACCAAAAACCGAAAATAAACTAACATAATCCGCCATTATCTGGCAAATTTTTGCGCACAATTTCGGCGCGACCGCCACGACGACTCAGAAGGTGCCCTTTTTTTTCTCTTGAGCACCTGCCCCTATAAATGTCTGTGCACGCCACTGCCCCAACCCCTGTTCGCAATCGTTCGCCGATTTGCACAGCAATACGCCGCACAGTGCTCTGGCATCTTGAAACCTCTGCTGTCTATGGGTAGGATGTCTGTACAATATGGGTAGGATCATAGATATATATAAACACTAGATGGCTCATGGGAGATTTTCCAGCGTAGCTCACCGGCCGCCATCTTGCTACAGTCAACAGCTACTCTGGTTCGCGCTATGGTGAGTGTAAGGTGAGTGCTCTGCACAAAAATACTCTTAAATCGCTGAAATCTTGACTGATTTACAAACGGTTTTGTTTATTATAAACGTTATTAGCATGGCTATGATACAGGATGCTTGGACATGTTGAAATTGCAGCTTTTCTTTGTGTATGTGGTTGTATTTATTCGCTGGCTAATAACAAGAGGCTGTGAGTGAGACCTAGTATTACAAAGTTGACCCAGCAACTTTACACCAGTGGGAGAGGCATAACTTCTCTTTCTTTTCAACATAATTTAAGTTACACATGATTTCTTCCAAGTGGTTTGGCTTGTTAAAACATCTTACATTTTAAGATACATTATGATACAGGAAATTGCTGGCTTTGTGTTTACAGAAGTACCTGACTTTTGTGCAGCCTACGGCTGCTCTAATCGCCGCAGTCTGCAAACAAGAACCCGTGGAATCACGTGTAAGATATGACAATATTATGACTATAATTAGGATAATCGTTAATTATTTAGTGGATGTATGTACATTACAAGTCCTGCTACTCAGTGGGGCTATGTGAGATAATAG